AGCGGAAAAATAATACCCGAAATTGATAACGGAGTTCAGTCAATTGTGCTTACGTCTCCAGACTGCTGCAAATCTTTTACTAAGAGAAAAAATTTACAGGTATTTACAAAACACTCACTACTCACAAGAAAGCTCTCTAGTATTGGGAGAAATAAATGATTTTTGGGATGATTTTGAAGCTAAATGAGCTAGTGTATTTATAGTTGAAACTTAGGGACTAATCTTATAATTACTCTAAAATACAATGGCTCAATGTATGATCTATCCATTACCATTTTCAAACAATTAGGCAGCCCACCTTTGAATTGTGCATTTGTTGAAAACCAATTTAGCTGCCCCATGTTGAAATCAATTTAGCTGCCCCCTATTTTGACTTTTCTCCAACAAAAAGATCACAAGCTTTGGTCCAAATTGGCATATGAATGACACAACAAAGTGACAAATACATATACATATTATAGCTGGTTTGATGGGAATGTTGAAGGAAGGTGTTGCTAGAATTCCTTATTTAATGAAAATGGCATCATGATTAATCTAACTTGTGGGAAAGACCATAGCGGAGGAACTAACTTCTTATAAATGCCATGAACTGATCACATTAATCTAAAGTCTAAAACCCTGCGCCCACCAGACTGGTAATAAGTAGAGAGAGCATCTCCTGGTTATATGATTTCCTTGTTACGAAGCTCCGCAAATTCTTTCGATGGGCCAAGGGATAATTTCTAAAACCGCTCGCTGACGCTCTTCAAAAAAGTTTGCACTCTTGTTCTCGTTTATCCAAAGGAACTATGCTCTTGTTTCTGTGGGTAAAAGATATACCTTATCTTTCTTCTGCTTAAAGCAGCTTGAGATGAATTTCCTTCTGTATTATGCGTCCGTTCTAGCATTGCAATTGTTAACAACTTTACATTTATCTTCTCCAATTCTGCAGTAGTGTGTAACTGAGTGCTTCTTCCCTCCATTTCTTTTTTCTTTGAACTCAAGGCAATTGAAAAGCTGATTTCTGGCTTTTCTCAAATACCAGCTGAAAATGGGGAGCTTATCCAAGTTTTAAGGTGGGTGTCTGACCTTAATATCTGTATAATATTTATCAGAAGGAAAAAGACTTAATATGTTCGCTATCAAGGCTAACATTTAGTGCAGCACAAGCATGAAAAGGATCAGTTTTTCAAGCCCCACCATGATTACTTTTCCGATACCGTAAGTTATCCGCCTTTCCCAAAGTTGACACGGTGAATTTATTGGTTGCCAGATATGTTCGTTCTTATGATATGCAGAAATCCTGATCTATTTCTTTGCTATCATTATTTATTGCAGTTTAACTTGAAGAGCGGTGGTCAAAGAATAGCAACTATGCTGATGTATCTAAGTGATGGTGTTGAAGGGGGAGAAACATATTTCCCTATGGTAATTGACTTTTATTTAGAAAAAGAAGAGAAAAAGTGGCTTGAAATTTGATGCTTGATTAATCATATTAAGTAGATGGTGCTTCTATGGCATGTACAATGACATTCAACTCATTTGTCTTTTATAGTTTTCTAGAGACTTAAGTGTCAGTATGCTTTTGGTACTTTCTTGACTTGCATAGCATTTGTTCTAGAAAGAGCAAGCGTAGAAGGTTTCTGAAATCTGTCTATGGTGTATTAAATTTGGCTTACATCTCTGGTGATTCTGTAGTGGCAGCTCATATTTATTCTCTCAACTTGTAATATTTAGATATTAATCCTATCAGAGAGTTGTATCGTTTAGTCTTTCATGTGTTTTCTTCTATCTAGCTTCTTCAAGTCTATTTGAATTTTCTTCAAGATGCTTGCCCCGTTTATAAATCGGAAACCTTATACTTTGCCTTGCAAATGGTTTCTCATTGTCTATACTTGTTGGTACGCAATGTTTAGAATGATCTTGAATTCAGTCCTCTTGTTAAAATTTTAAAGATTGTTTTTCTCTGTCAACTTCTCTTTGAAAATACCTTTGATGTTATACATTTCATTGCATCGGTTTGTCAAACATGTTATTTAAAATCTCAGGCTGGTACGGGTGATTGTAACTGTGGTGGGAAGATTGTGAAGGGGAAGTCTGTAAAACCAATCAAAGGGGATGCAATGCTTTTCTGGAGCATGGTTCGTTTTCCTGCCCTTATTCATAAATTCAAAATGCCGCTTTGCCTGCCTTTGTATGCAAGGGTGTAAATGAGATGCGACAGATCGCGAGTTACTCGAGTTCAACTCGGTCAACACTCAAACCGAATGGACTCGACTCAAATTCTTAACGAGCCAAAGCAAGCTGCTTGACACCTAACTCAAAAAGCTCGAGACCAACTCAAAAAAATAATATATTAATTTTTAAAATTTAAAATTAAATTATTAAAATGCAATATAAGGTTTTCATGTACTTAAGGTTAAGTTTGAGTTTAAGTTTGAGTTTGAGTTCGAGCTTGAACCAAACTTGAGCTTCAATTGAGCAAATTTTGAGAATGTATCGAGTTCAAGTTTTTTCGAGCTTGAGTCGAGTTTCAATTTTTGATTTCAAGTTCAAATTTGACAATTTTAAGCTTACGAGTTTCGAATCGAGTCTAGCTCAGCAATACTTGAGCTCGACGCGGCTCATTTACAGCCCTTTCTGTATGCAGTGAACTTTTCTTTTCTCATCTACTATTTGGCTCGTCTATCAATAATTTACAGTATAACACTCAAGGCTTCATGTTTTTCAGTTTAACTTCTCGACACTTAATTCTATCTTGTTTCAATATATTTTCACAAGGGTGTTATAAACTTACCCATTTTGAGATTGAATTGAGAGTTGTGTTAACAAATATTTTTGGTTTGAGATTTAGAAGGATTTATCTGATTTTGTTATCTTTGTTGTTTGCATTGCTTGCTTCTTCTAGGGGCTAGACGGACAGTCGGATCCAAATGGCATACATGGCGGATGTGAAGTTTTATCAGGAGAGAAATGGTCTGCAACAAAATGGATGAGGCAAAAGCCTACTTTCTGATGCTAAAATATTAGGGATAGGGGGAATGATACTATTTCACTGTGTCTAGAAATTCACATCCAGATGCTTTAGGGGAGGAGTAATAATTTGAACTCTTAAAGTAGGAGGATATTGCCTAGATACCAGAAACCGAGTTTGACCGGCCCTCGGACGATTGAGATGCCATATAAAGAATAGGTTACATATTGAGAAATGAACAATTTGGTATAGTTGCATCACTCAATTTTTGGACCTGTTCCTGTACTAAACATTGCTGCCTTTGCACAGATGTTATGGGGCATTTGTAATAGTAGCTGTGAATTGCTGTTAGTATGTCTCTCTGTTTTGAAACTTTCTATTATCCTTTTTCTTTGGTTCGACAATTTGTATTAATACATCTATGTGCAATTGATATTGTAGAGTATGAGAATATGATCGTTTAAATACGCTTAAAAAGTTTAAATATCAAAATGGTTTATTATATTTTAAATCCCTAGGATTAGGGCTGTAAATGTGATGAGATAGATCACAAGTTACTCGAGTTTGACTTAGTCAAAGTTCCGTCAACACTCGAATTGAATGACTTGAGCTCGAACTCGACTCGAGTTCTTAACGAGTCGAAGCAAATTACTTGACACCCGATTCGAAAAGCACTTGAGCAACTCAAAATGATAATACATTAATTTTTTAAAAGGAAAATGACACATTTATTACATAAACTATCAGTCTTGGTTCGTTTTAGTGTTTAAACTTTCAATTTTTTCAAAACTATATATAAAGTTTAGTTTTTATTTCATTTTAGTACCTATATTCAAAATTTAGGGTTAAGCTTTGAATTTTGTTTGAAAGTTTAAGTACTAAAATGGACAAAAATTGATAGTTTAGATACTAAACTCATTAAGTTTTTAACGACAGAGTACTAAAATAAAACACAAAGTAACCGTTAGGTATGGTTTTAAAAAATTAAAAGTTTATGTACTAAAATAGAGTAAAATTGATAGTTTAGTTACGAAATGCGTAATTTACCCTTTTTTTTAAAATTATATTAATAAGCATGAGCGTAGTTTGAATTGAAATCGTGGTTGAGCTTCAATCGAACTAAATTTGAGAATGTTTTAAATTCAAGTTTTTTCGAGTTCAAATTAAATTTTAATTTTTGACTTCGAGTTTGAGTTGAACCGGATGATTTGAAGTTTACGAGTTTTTGAATCAAGTTGAACTTTGAACTTTTCGAATTCAGTCGAACATATCAATATTTAAACTCAACTCAACTCGTTTTATAAGCCCAACATAGAATATCAAGCAAGTTTTCGAAACAGCCCAGCTTCTGAAAAATGCTCACTGAATTTGGAAGTTGTTCCATTTTAGTCAATGCTCCGAAATTTATTAATTCATAGGGTTTGAAGCATTTCTTTGATTTCTCTTGTTTTGTTTTCCTCCCCAAATATGACCACTAACGCTTTTCTATTTCAAAAATTACAAATTTCCACTTAAAATGATAAATATTTTAATTAATTCACAAAAAAATCCATTTTTAAGGGAAAATTCCATCTTTCACCATGATTTTGACTTTAATGAACAACAGATAAAAACTATTGGGATTTCAAAGCTAACAGTAAGAAATGGAGATAAAATAATGAGAGAAACGGTACCGTCTCGCGTTCAATACACTGAAAATGATGTTTGTACATTAATTTCCCACCCCCATAAATTATAAATATAAAATCTATAAAAATATTAAAGAATTATAAAATAAATTAAAAAATGATAGAATGTTAAAATTTTGTGGATTAGTTTTTTTAGGATTAGGATTAGATTAAAATGAAGTGTAAAATTTAAAGGCTGCAGCTGCTATTATTCAGTTTTATTAGCTGCCGCATTACATTGTAACTTTGGTTAACTCGGGTGATGATTTTCTAATTTGTCAGAGTTATAGAGGATGTAAAGAAGTTTTCTATAGTTGAGAGACTATCCAGATACTTTACCCTAACATTTTTACTCTGCGTATTATTTCTCACACGGAAGAGGTGCCCAACAACACGTCAATTGTACTTGCTCGGCGGGAAAGCGATAAATTTGGGGCCAAACAAATATAGGAAAAAAAGGAAGCCAGTGCCTTCTCTCCCTCCAAAGTCCCCCAAATCCCCATTTAAAACCCTAAAAGCTCTTATTCTTCTTCCTCTGACCCCCAAACCCCTCATTTCCAACCCCCAGCAGTTCCTTACGTCCATGGCATTTCCCAAGAGAGGTGACGAGGGAGACGCCGACACTCCGATTCGCCACGTTTCATTGGACCGCGTCTACTCCGCCGCTTCTCTATGCGTCAGCGCCACCAACTCATCCAACGAAATGTCCAAGAAGGTCAAAGCTCGTAAACTCATTGTCGACAGCGATCACCTCCTCAAACCCCACAATCCCCACGTCCTTCATGTCTACTCTCGCCGCCATAAACGCCCTCGCCAATGCGACTCCGACGACTCTTTGCTCCAAGAAGAGGGCCAAAAAACAGTAGTCAAAGGTGAAATTGATGAGCCTTTTAGGAAAAAGAGGAGGATTAGGAGTAATGAGTTGGCCAATTTGGGGGCTGACTCGAGTGTTTTCTGTCAGGCAGATCGCCCTCGTTTGAGGGACTGTAGAAATAATAGCAGTGTTAATAATAATGTGAATAGTAATTCTGTTAAGAAAAGGAATCGTATTTCTACTCTGAATTCTATGCGGGGTTTCATTGTTTCCTCTACTGCTAAGAGATGGGTCAGGTCAGTTTTTCTTTTTAAAATTTATTTCGTTTTATATATTTTTTAGTAAATATTGAAGACGACTTAACTTAATTGTTTTTCTGATCTAAATTAAATATCTGCTACTGAATCTTGTTTCTATAGGAGATATAAAAAATGCAGTTGGGTGCAATGCAAACATATGTATGAAATTTATTTGGAATTGGCGTGGCTTCTATGTTTTCGGGGTTTATCTATAATCAATCATGATGTTGCTTTATGAAATTTGTTTCTGGATTTGAAGTAAAAGTAAATAGCTAAAAGGAGTCATGGTGAATCGGGTTTAAATGGCTGCAATCTTGATGCAGAAGGAGTTTGTTTGAATTTTCCTCCTTTCTTATTTTTAAATACAGATTATTGTGTATATATTTTGGTTATATTAACTGGAAAAAGTTGTAACTTGAATAGGTTGAGTTTTGACGGTGTTGATCCAAAAGCATTCGTTGGATTGCAATGCAAGGCAAGCATTTTGATGGCTCTTTAAGTTACTACTTTTAGACATTGAACTTACATCTTGACATAAATCTTTGTCAATTACAGGTTTTTTGGCCATTGGATGCTGATTGGTATTCAGGTCGAGTTGTTGGGTACAATTCGGAGTCTAAAAGACATCATGTATGTCCATTGTATATATATACATACATATATTTTAGTTTTTTACTCTATGGTTATAGAAATTGTTTTTGCATTTAATGGTGTAGATATATTATTTATTTCACGGACTGGTTTGTTCATTATTTGACAAGTTCTAATGCAGTTTGAATATGAAGATGGAGATAAGGAGGATTTGCTGCTTTCTAATGAGAAACTGAAGTTTCATGTTTCTCATGAAGAGATGGAGCTCCTTAACTTGAGTTTCAGTGTTAATAGTACAAATAATGGTTGCTATGACTACGATGAGATGGTTGCGTTGGCTGCCAGTCAAGATGATTGTCAAGAACTTGAACACGGGGATGTTATATGGGCAAAACTTACTGGTTTGTGCTAAATCCATCTGATTCATATTATGTTTCGGAGACAGTTACAACTTACTATAGAAAGTGTTTTACTGTCATGACATGAGATGTCAAGGCCTCGAGGGTTGTCAATCTGTAATTGATTATAGGCTATGATACACTTTGGAGTAATTTGTTTGAGATGAACCTGGTAGTTGGGAAATATTTTTGAGGACTCCTTCGTTCTTAATCTGTGATGGTCACATAGTTCTTAGAAGTTGATTTTGTGTGTACCTATGAATTTTATCATTTGTTGTTGAAGCTTTTGCATTCGGTGAAGAATCATACTTGTTCAATTTTTCTGCAATGGTTTTGCAAGGTTCATCAGAATTTGATAAGAGCTCTTTGTATGTCTCCGGGTTCTAGTGCTATAAATATATCTTCATGCATTTAATGATGAATGAGTTTTCTTTTGAGAAAATTATCAATATTTATGCATATTTCAATGAGATTATCTTTTGAGTTATTACTGCAGGTCATGCAATGTGGCCAGCAATTGTGGTAGATGAATCACTTATTGGTGATCGTAAAGGTTTGAGTAAGATTTCTGGTGGAAGATTAGTTCCAGTTCAATTTTTTGGCACCCATGATTTTGCAAGGTGTGTATTTTAATTTTGTGAGAGATAAGGTTCTTGTTTTACATGGATGCTAGACTTCTATATCTTGAGGCTGATTTCACCAGTTCCTTTTGTAATTGTCAGAATAAAATTGAAACAGGTGGTCTCTTTTCTCAAAGGACTTCTCTCATCGCTTCACCGGAAGTGCAAGAAACCTTGTTTCACTATGGGCTTGGAGGAAGCAAAATTGTAAGTTATTTTAGTTGCTAAGGTTCATTTAGTTCAAGTTATGAAAAAGAATGTGATAAAGAAAGTTTTTTCTCTTCGCATGTATCCATTCTTCTAATTCCAATGGAATAAACATGTCTATCAACTGTTTCGTTGTAAAGCATAGTCTGGACTAACATAGTGAATGAATTGAAAAACAGGTTATTTCATATGCCTCTTACTCATTCTTGCTTCCCGTTCTTGACTTTTATGCTTTTGCTTGTAAGCTGTGGGGATTGTTAACCTATTTGTTATTTTCCAACTTTCTTTAGGTGATTACATCTTGTCTAAATGATTTATGGGCATTTATACTTTTGGTATTCCTTAAGTTTGGTGCTTCCGAATCAATTTTGTATTCTCCTTTAATGTAACTCCTGTCTTTGTAGTTGTACTGTTCCTTTACTATGACAGTGATATGTGTAATAGCATGGTTTTTTGGCTCTTGCAATTGTGTGCAAGAGTTGATAGTCACGTGCTTCTATCTTTTGTTCCAAGCAGCTATTTGTGTGAACAGAAGCTTCCAAGAAGAATGTTACAACTACAAAATGGAAATACTGAGGATGTTGGTGATGCAAGTTGTGAAGATAAAGGAAATATCGATTTCATTGAAGATCACAGGAAAAAAAATCAGGGGATTCAGATAACTCTTAGTGGACCTGGAGGTTCTTCTTATGTAATAGGAGACATGCAAATAATTAGCCTTGGTAATTTCTAGTGGCCTTAAATTGCTTTATTTGTACAAGTTGAGATGTCATACAATTTTGCATCTGATGCATAGATGGTTAGGCATATTTGGCTATTCACAACTTTTCAAATCTCTTTTGCATTTTGGAATTTGATTTTTTTTTTTGGCAAATTGTCAAGTATTGTTAAAATAGATGCTTGTTATATGTGTGCATCAGAGGTAAGCTGGAAATTATGCTAGTGGAAGTAGTTAGTAAATTGTTGATGCCCAAACTCTTTCCTAGAGTTAGAGCCAATCCAGTTAGAACGATATATAGCTGGGTTAAAGTTTCTGGAGATTTGATTACTTCCGATTATCAAGTGCCGTTTTCTAAAAGATTGAGATTTTAATTATTACTCATGGATTGTTGGACTGCTGTTACAGGAAAAGTTGTCAAGGACTCCGAATATTTCCAAGATGATGGAATAGTCTGGCCTGAAGGGTACACTGTTGTTAGGGAATCTATTTCAGTAAAAGGTAAGGCATTTTGTCTTTTATGCATAATACTTTTTTTTTCAATTTCTTGTGATTATCCTATTTTATTGGCACTCTGTGACATTTGATTTTCCCGTCTGTTAGATCCAAGTATTTGTACCTTGTATAGGATGGAAGTGCTGAGAGATCCTCAGTCAAAGAATCATCCTATATTTAGAGTGGCATGTGATGGAGAGAAGGTTAGTTGTTTAGCATGGTAAAATGATCTTAAAGTTACTGTATTATGCTGCCTCCTTGTTTTTTGTGCATTTGCTAATCTTGGCACATTTTGCATTTTCTCATGAGTTTCTCATTCCAGTAGTCTGATCCTGTTCATGATGCATCACTTGGCTGTTTTTGGACATGCTAATAATATGGTTTTCCACGTTCTGTTAGATCCAAGTAAAATAGTTAGCTGTCATTGTACACCGTCTGTTCTTGGTTTAGGCTGTACATGCTTCCTGAGAACTATGACATGTGCGAGGCCTGGGAGATAGTAGAGTTATCTCTTGTTTGGTGTTGTAGTCTGGAGTAACATTTAAGAGTGGTTGGGATTTCAAATAACCATCTGAAGTCCATTAACTCATTAAAAACTTGTTAAGGATTACTTCAGGTTCTTAGATGAGAATATTGGGATATAAATTTGAATTTTTGTTGCTAATCTTGTGATATCATGTCCGCTTTTATTTCTTCATCATCATTACTTTATCATTGCGCATTCATCTTGGGGAATATCACATGTTTCAGGATGCTAATTGTTCAAATATGCTCTTCCTTCCCGTTATTGTTCTTATCTCTGATTACAGGGAATATGAGTAAAAAAATTAACTATATAAATGATGAGAAGAAAAAAGTAAATGATCATTAAAGTTAAGTTAACCCAGAACCCAAACATCAATCAAAGTTTATTACCAGTTGGAAAAATGTATCTCCTGTAATAGATTCTACTTGCATATCCAAATCTTTGGTGTTTGTAAAGGTTTCAGGGGTTTTATTTTGTATGATGGGAGAATATGGCTGCTGCTCTGGTATTCCAATACCTTGGAGTTTGTTGTGTCAGTTATCAGAATGGATTAAGTAGTAATTGAAGTATCTAAATACACATATATTAAGAAATTGTAGAAGTATGATTATATTCCTTGTTTGGTTTCTTGATTTTTATCCACAATAGACTCATCAGTTATTTGATTCATGGTTTGCATATATTCCTTACTGGACTGGCAATTCATATTATCATCACTGCTTTTGTTTAAATTGGTTCTTATTGTCAAAATTATCGAGTGTAGCACCTAATCTATATTGAGTATTTGTGTCAGTTTGAGGGACCAGACCCATCAGCTTGTTGGAATAAGATATCTAGAAGGATAAAAAAGATACATAATGATTCTTCTGATTCCAGTGCTTCAAAAGGAAGATTCTTTCAATCTGGCTCTGATATGTTTGGTTTCTCCGATCCTGGAGTTATAAAATTAATACAGGTATAGTCGTATCTTCATTTTTCCTTAGATTTGAAGTTCCACCTCGGAAGCATGGACACAAATTATACAGGTCTGACACTGTATACGGGAATTTTTAAAAAATGACATGGATAAATTTTTTTTTGGATAAGATTGGAAGGCCTCGTTAAAAACCCCCTTCTTAGTTAAAGGAGCTTAGGGGTAAGCTCTTTAATCAGCGGAAGGAGGAAAAGAGCGCCTTAAAAATTTTATTGATAATAAAAGTTTACATAAGATTTAAACACTACACCAAATTACATCACATAAAACTTAACAACTACTTTCAACTAGACCTCCTCGCTGGATCAGAAAATCCAGTGATAGAGCCTTACAGTCAACCTATCCCATTCTTAGCTAAGCTATCAGCCTCCCCATTGCTTGCCCTTGAAATCCACCTCACTGAATGAACCATACCATTTGAAAGAGACAAAATCTGATTAACTAAAGGCGAGTAGAAAGCAGGAGCCAAAGCCGGTGATTGAATCCATTCCACTACCGACTTGCAATCACACTCAACAATCAATCTCCCAACAGATACCCAATGTGATGCCAAAAAAATTTCAATGCCTCTTTGAATAGCCTTTAATTCAGCTAGAGGAGTACATTGGCCAACCTTCTCTGAAAAAGTCAAAAGCGTGCGACACTCCCAATCTCTCAAAATACCTCCAATACCTCCACCCGAGCCATCAAGCCTAGCAGCTCCATCAACATTCATCTTAAGAAAATCAACAGGGGTGGAATCCAACGCAAGATATGACAAACTTTGGCTTTGGATAAAGAAAACCCATCTGCTAGGGATGGATTACCAATCAGCAAATCCTCTTGAATATGAACCGTAGGAAACTTGGCTAAAAACCATTTTGAAAGTCTGAATCTAACTGTAAAGAACAAACAACAAAACAAGAAATAAATAAATGTTGAACTGTTTCCTCATGATTCTTGCAAAAAGGACACTGAATATCTTCCCCTAAAGAAACACCTCTCTTAACCAACTCAGCCTTAACTGCCAATTTCTGATGTGCGAGTTGCCAAAGGAAAGCTTCCACTCTAGGTGGAGCAAAACCCATCCAGACTCCTTTTAGCCACAAATCATTACTCCCATCCACAGAACCAAGAGATTTTCTGCAGGATTTTACCGAAAACAAGCCATCTCCACTAGCAGACCAAGAAAGAGAGTCTTCCACCAGCTCTGACAATTGTAATCCTTAAGTTTTGTCATCAAAGCCAACCACTGGTCCAATTCCCAATCACTCAGATTCCTTCTAGTTTGAACATTCCACTCCCAACCACTCGATCCATAGCTGCCAAAATCAACAACCTCCCCCCCTTTATTAATGGAAAGCACATAGATTCTAGGGAATATTATTTTTAGAGGAACCTCATCTGCCCATACATCATTCCAAAACGAAATTGATTTCCCATTACCTATTTGCAGCTTCGAATTCGATCTAAGAAAATCCCCTACCGAATCATTCTTAGAAATGACATGGATAATAAAAGGTGTCAATAAAAAGTGTAAAACCAATACTTATCAGTTAAACATTTACATGCAAATAGCTTTTGAATTTGAATATATTATCTTCTAAAAGAGTCATTGGATATATTACTCATTGTTTGTTTTGTATTTTAGAAGGAAAAAGCAAAATAATATAAATCTTATTTGTGTCCGGACATGTTAAGCCATCTCCTAAACTTGTTTTGACCGTGTGATTTTTTTATGTGTCCTTGTGTATCTGACATGTATTTTTCTGTGTTGTTATATCCGGGTTGGACATGTATCCGACCCTTGGACACTTCCCTGCCAGAAGTGTCTGTGCTTCATCGGGTTGCACACTTGCACTTAGTGGCATATACATTTCAATCTTATTGTTCAGTACTATGTTATGGATCTATCTTAATTGTCTTATACACTGTTTTAATAAAAAATTCCATTAACCAATACATGGTAACCCTCAATTTCGTCCTTATAATTATCTGTTCACTTATGCTCACCAATTTATGCTTTTCATTCTTTAACTGTGATTTTTTTTATATAAAAACTGTGTTTAACTAATAACTGAGTGAGGGTCTATATATGCCATATTTGTTCAAGGCAGGATTTGTGTTTTAACTTCCCAAACTTTTTTTGTAATGTTTCTGGTTTTAATAGGACGCTTTATGATATTTCTTTTCTTGTTCTTTTCTTTGTTGGTTATATGACTGCAAGTGTTGAGACCTGTACTTGCATGATTCTGTTATTTTTGTAGGTTATAATGAGTTCCTTTCATGCTGACAGGGGTTGTTAAAATCTAGACTTTCTTCAAAGTTCTCTGCATCCAATTTAGCCTCTGGAAGGTTTCGAGACCTGCCTGCTGGTTATAGACCTTTTCAAGTTGACTGGAAAGACCTAGATAAGTGTAGTGTCTGCCACATGGACGAGGTAAACAGCATTTTAATATGTTCTGATACGGTGGCACTATCTTCTTTCTGATATTTTGTGCCTCAGTGGTCAGGTTTTAGATTGGATGCTTTGAGTCAGTGTTCTTGGACAATTTTGTGAATTTGGATCATGTCGTCTTTTTTTTATAAGATTTGAAGGCCTCATTAAAAACCACCTTCTTGATTAATGGAGCTTATGAATAAGCTCCTTAATCAGCGAAAGATGGAAAAGAGCGCCTTAGAACTTTATTAAAATAAAGTAGGATTACAACCTAGATAAAATCCCATAAACCCTTATAAATAGTCATAACTCCCTTCTGATCAAGAACAAGAAACCCACTTGATCAGTACAAAACACATAAAATTCAGACTATACCAGCCTTTGCTAAGGCATCAACATCCGAATTAGCTGACCTAGCAACCCATCTAACAATCCCCCCCACAAACCCTAAGATTATCAACAATATCCTTAACAATAACAGCATACACAACTGAATAAGAATCAACAATGTTAATCCAGTCCACTGCTTCCTTACTGTCGCTTTCAACAATCAGTCGAACATTATCCCTCCCTTGAATAGAAGCGACGAAAATCAGACCCCTTTGGATAGCTTTGAGTTCCTTTAATGTCGGAGGTCCCGGACCATTAGGCTCCTGAAAAGAACCTAAAATTGCTCCCGAATGATCCCTTAAAATACCTCCTAGTCCGCTTTTCAACCAATCACTGGTGGTGGCAGCATCCACATTCAATTTTATGAAGCCTAAAGGAGGAGGAAGCCAGGGTAATGCAGAGGACTTCATGAAATTGTAGGACGAGTGTAAATCCCCTAAATAGTTAAATGTGAATCAGTGAAACAAACCATATTATTATCAAATTCTAATCTTATGATGAGAAATTGAAAGTTAGAAGATACCTACCAGTTTTATATAGAAGATGGTTGATAATATCTAAGTCTTTAAACAAACCCATTAGAACAAGAGTGACATAGGATGAGACACCTAATCAGGTCGGCCATGAAAAATCATTTATTTTAAAATTATTCCTCGAAATTCTTTTTGGCATAAATAGGGGCTAATTGCTGTCAAAGTACTCTTTTTTAGAAAATATGATAACACAAAAGTGCAGACTCAATTTACCTGGTCACTCTTTGATTTTTCTTTTGTTCTTATTTATTTATTTAGTTATTTATTTATCTATTCGCTTTTTAACATCCTTTACTAGTATTTTGTTTTGTTTCTCTCTCTCTCTCTGAGACGCTGATCCTAGTTTGATTATGCTTTTCTGAGTTTCTGTTTTTGCACCTTTACCCTTGTTAATGGTTGAATCTCGTTGTCCTTTTATGCTTTTGATGCTTGACTTTGTTACCTGACTGATGTTTCTTTGATTTTAGGAGTATGAGAACAATCTATTTCTCCAGTGTGACAAATGCAGAATGATGGTAAATGCTCTTTTACATGTTTCATATCAATAACATGATATTTATGTTATCATTGATCAGACAACTGGATGTTCGTCAGGTTTTCATCTGTAAAATTGAATGCTATCAATTGTAAGTCGAAATTGGTTGCTTATTCTTTTTTAATCCAATATTGTCAAGGGCACACTTTAGGCTTTAAAATCTGTATATTGATTGCCTCAGGCACAAGGGCGCAAAGAAAGGGCTAACTTGAGTGATAAAGTAAAATATATTCGGACATATGTGATTTCTCTCTCTCTCTCTCTCTCTCTCTATCTATCTATCTATCTATATATATATATAAAGCTTAAGGTATATAATAAACGCTAGAGAGTGCCTACTTTATCTACAAAATACGCAAAATTTTTACTGGTCAATATATATGCTTTCCTTATGGTCCATTTCTGTTGTTGAATGCTCAATTTTTGAGAAGCAGATAATTTTATACTATTCCTGTCTTACTAGTAAAAGGTATATCAAATGAAAAAAGGGACAGATCAAAGAAATTAAAGATAACTTCAATCAGACGGGCTTTTGTTATGCCTATCACCTTACAGAAAGGTGCTCCTGATCAAATGGGCTTCGTCCCTAAAGGACCTGAGGTGCTTTTGTTGTCTATTGCTAAGGTGCAAGACACAAGCATATGCCTTGACAACATTTTATTAATATTCTTCCTACATGATTTATGCATGTGGGTGCACATTTGTCTTTTGAAATTTCTAGTTTCTCCGTTATAACTGATGATTGTACAGGTGCATGCTAGATGCTATGGCGAACTTGAGCCTGTTGATGGTATTCTATGGTTGTGCAACTTATGCCGCCCTGGGGCACCCGAGTCCCCTCCACCTTGCTGTCTTTGCCCTGTTATAGGTATTTGGCTTTCTTAAGTTCTTGTTCAGAGCCAAGAGTAGTGAATCACTGAAACTGTGAATCAATCTCTTTTAGGGGGTGCAATGAAGCCTACGACTGATGGCCGTTGGGCTCATCTGGCTTGTGCCATATGGATACCTGGTCTGTGACCTTGTAATTTCCATTTTTCTTCTTGTCTTTACATTTTATACATAATGCACTGACTAAACATTTATGTTCCAGAAACATGTCTATCTGATGTCAAGAGAATGGAACCCATTGACGGGCTAAATAGAATCTGCAAGGTACTTCTCTTACTGTAATTTTGCATATATTTTTGTTCACAGGACTTATTTAGTGCTTTTTGATGTTGTCTGGTGAGGATCTTGGGCCTTTATTCAAAGCTAAATTCCATATACCCATGATTTCCATACAAATCAGACTTATAAATATTGTAAGTTTTCTTTTCTTTCTGATCATTTCATTCCATATTACAGGACCGGTGGAAGCTGCTATGCAGCATCTGTGGTGTATCTTATGGAGCTTGTATTCAAGTACGCTTACAGCACATTGTTGTTTAATGTTTCTATGATGTAGTTTCTTATTGAAACTCATCCATTCACATTATGTTAGTTTCTACGTGATATTGTTGTCTAATGGAATTTCTGATGGAGTATGTTCATTTAGGGTGCTTATTGATATGAGAACTTTTAGTATATGTTGTTTCAGTTCTGCTGTTGTTAATTTAAGAGTGGTATGGTTATCTAGAATCCAACTCCCAATAGAAAAAGAAAATGACCTTTTAGCATGTTTACATTTTGTCTATCTTGCTTGACTTCTTAAAAACTAGAAAACTACCCCTAATGACTGTTGTTAAGAACCTTATCGGGTGAGGCTACGCTTTTTTAAGCTTTGGGCTTCAAGGATTTTGTAAACATTGTTTCTATTCTTTTGTCCTAAAATGGAAATAGTACGTACTCACTAATTTAGACTTTAAAAAAAGTACTCACTAATTTAGACTTTTTAAAGCTATGGGCACTATAGAAGTAAAATTTATATGTTTCTGCTGAATAAATCTATAGCATCTTTCGTTTGGGTCCTTTAGAGCATGTTCGTTGGTCTTTCAGTTTAAGATGGTTAGATAAGACACTCAGATATCACTAATGGTTGAGTCCAATGCCTGACACCCATAGTCGAGTCGAAGAAAATGCAGAATGTAGAATTCCTAAATCAATGTGCTTTTTGGTTATGCTTGATGTTTGCTTTAACCTTAACATTATGTCAAAATAATCATTTTTAATTTGTTATTTTACTATGCATAACTTTCCTCCCACTTTCAGTACTTTTATTTGTTTTTTTACAATGCTTATTATTCAGTGTTCAAACCCTACGTGCCGGGTAGCATACCATCCACTCTGTGCACGTGCTGCTGGTCTCTGTGTTGAGGTAGTATCAGTCTATTATGAAATTAGTTTAGGGAGTTCTTTGCGGTTATATTTTTCCATTGTTTTCAGAATTGTAGTCATCCTGTTTGTAACTGATGGATAACATGGATCATATGCTTCCAATTTGCCTTGTTCTTATGGTTCCTTAGCTTGAGGATGAGGAGAGACTGTTTCTCCTCTCAGTAGATGAAGATGATGAAGATCAATGTATTCGGCTACTTTCCTTTTGCAAGAAGCATAGGCAACCATCTAATGATCCAATAGAAGCATCCGATGAACGAGTTGGTAGACTAGTACGTCAATGTTCGGATTACACTCCACCTCTTAATCCATCTGGTTGTGCTCGGACCGGTATGCTATTGCTTGTTGCTTTATCTTCATTGGTTGTACTTTTGGTATTCTTGTTACGTTGCAGTTTGATTCCTTTGATGTCTCTTGCTTTCTCTGTGTTAGGATTTATTTTTTAAATTTTGGTGGATTATTTCTACCTCAATCAATTTTAATCATTGGTTTTAAGTAATGCTTTTGATGTTTATAGTTATATTATTTCAAATTGTGTACATCTAAATTTGGCTCATGGCTTGTTTATATGATAGCTCTATGGGTGGCTATTTAACTTTCTCCTTTTTTAAAGGCGCTTGGCTTTGTGTCTTAGATCTACAAAAAAAATGAAATGTTATTATTGGCTAAGTTAGCTAGTAGTTTTTTAGATTGCTTATAGACTTGAGCGGGTTGATGAGTAATTTGCCTTTATTTTATCTTTCTTCTGGTTCATGTATGAGTGAGATGTTTTTAGCTTATTCATAATCCTATCAATGTTGAATCCCGCTCTTGATTGCATAATCCCTTGCATATAGTAATTTTACTTCTATGAAGTTACTATCCTTCTCTCAAATGACTAAAAAAAAGGGTAAATTGCATTCAATAAAAGGTTATCCTATCCATCCTATCTAGAGAAGCAATTTTGGCTTCAGTGCATTGTTATGTTTTACTGTTGGACCAAAGCTGGATACTATAAGCCTTTTTTTGTTTGGCGCAGAGCCTTACAGCCATTTGGGAAGAAGAGCCCGAAAAGAACCTGAAGCCCTTGCTGCTGCATCCCTAAAGCGCTTGTTTGTAGAGAATCAATGCTACTTGGTTGGTGGCTTCTACCAACATTCAATGTCAGGCACCACAGTGCCTAACAATAGAGTGAATGGTATCAAATTCTCTTTTAGTCTTACCAAGCTTAAAGCCCCCCAGCTTGATGCTCCTAACAACATCCTCTCTGTAGCTGAGAAGTATGATTACATGAGGCAAACCATTCGAAAAAGATTGACATTTGGTAAGTGACTACTATTTGCTTTTCATTTTTGTTTGTGCATGTGTGGGGGGATGGGCGTAAGACTTCCTCAGTATTAAGGAAGCAGGTCTGGCCAAACTTTGTTATTATTCATTGTGTTCTGACAAAATGCTGATAGTGATACGAAAATGGTAGTCAACATTCTTTAAGTCCTAGAATTATGATCTGTGACGTTATCACAAGAAACTTCCAATGTCCGTTAAGATACCTTGTAGCTTAACGGTTATGAAGGGGGGTTTTAACGAGGCCTTCTTCTTATAAAAAAAATGCAGTGCACGGTTGGATTCAATGATTTCTTCTTGTACCTTTTCTCATGGGACCTATTACAGGTCGAAATATGGAATTAATTTGGGCTAAAGGTGTTGTCCAGGTTGGGCAAATTTTGAATTGCATATAACTGATTCTGTGTAAGGAAGGCGTAAGTAAAAAGGCTTGGTAAGGGATGGAGGTTGTCCCATTGAATTGAAATCGAATAGCATCCTTTTTTTGGCACAAAGGAGGCTTCAACTTGTGAGTAAAATAAGGGATTTTAGATACTATTCAAATCCCAAACCTATGGCTAGTAGTTTTCCCCTTTAAAGAATCATCTGAAAGTTTAAAATAGTCACTTGTTCCTTTTTGTTGTTTTGCATTAATTTTTGTCCTAGTTTTTCTTTGATAATTGGAATTGCATTTGGCTCCAGGGAAATCAGGAATTCACGGGTTTGGAATCTTTGCAAAGCATCCACATAGGGCAGGAGACATGGTAAATTAATGTGCTTTAGTACATTGTAGGATTCTCTGGACTTTTTTCTTGAGTGCATGAAATGTAATGTTTATCATCTGTAGGTGATTGAATATACTGGCGAACTTGTTAGACCTTCTATAGCTGATAGAAGGGAACATTTCATTTACAACTCATTAGTGGTATGTTCTCCATTATCTCATACATTTGCTTGTCTGGATTATTGTCCTATGGGCAATCTTAGAGAGCTCATTGTCAAAGTTTGAAAGATGCTAAGTACTTTATCTCTTAGGGTGCTGGCACTTATTTGTTTCGAATTGATAATGAAAGAGTGATTGATGCCCCTAGAGCAGGAAGCATAGCACATCTAATCAATCTTAGAGAGCTCATTGTCAAAGTTTGAAAGATGCCAAGTACTTTATCTCTTAGGGTGCTGGCACTTATTTGTTTCGAATTGATAATGAAAGAGTGATTGATGCCACTAGAGCAGGAAGCATAGCACATCTAATCAATCACTCATGTGAAGTAAGTGCTTTTAACCCTTGCTTTTGGTAATTTAGTATGCTTTGTGCCCTTCTGTTTTTAATCATTTGGCTACAGAAGATGTTTGTATCAGAATTCTTGCCATAGATTTTTGTGTTCATTCCATTTTTTTCATTTGCATGGGTCTTTATGAGTCTGTGAAATGGTACAAGTTGAAAAAGTTGTAACCATAACTTTTGTGATTTATTTTGCTTCATACCCTTCTGTCTCAGTTTGTCTGGCTACATCTGATATTTCTGTAGTTCCTGTTAGTTGGTATTCGTGTCATGCATGTTTAAATTCATTCCACTTATACCTTCACATGGTCATTAGGAGTCCATTAAATGGTGTATTTATAAGATGGTAATGAATGAAAATGTTTTCTTTATATTGTTAATGAAGCTTGTTGTTTGCATCTTGGACATGGAATAAATTTGAGATTATCTGAAGCGAAATAGGGTTAAAGACAACATGACAGGGGGAGTATAAAAGTTCCTTTGATGTAATTAAGTTATTCTAGTATGATACGAGTTGTAGTTTCTTGACCAGGCAGAAATACTTCTACAAAAATGCTTATGTGGCATTGTAACTTATCAGTTTCTGTTGAACAAAATGCATATAAAAGATGTTAATAATTTTTCTCTTTTGCCCTTTGTGCAGCCCAATTGCTACTCAAGAGTTATTAGTGTTCATGGTGATGAGCACATTATCATTTTTGCAAAGAGAGATATTAAACGATGGGAGGAGCTGACATATGATTATAGGTTCTCCTCTAATCCTAAGCATCATTTTTTTCATTAATCATCTTCGACACTGACTTTTGTTTGTCTTGTAGGTTCTTTTCCATTGATGAGCGTTTGGCATGCTATTGTGGTTTTCCAAGATGCCGGGGTGTTGTTAATGATACCGAAGCTGAAGAACAAGTCTCAAAGATATCAGTAAACCGGAGTGAATTGACTCAATGAAGAGGAGAATGAGAGGTAAAAACCCTTAGATTTATTATACACTTGAATTTCTCTTTAGCTTATTGTATTTTGAACTAAGAAGTATGCGTGAGAAGTTGGAAACTAAAAATCAACTATTTTTATACAATAGTTTGTGAAAGCATGCCAGCAATACTGATGAAACAAGAACTCAATCCATTTGAATCCTTCATTAAATCATATGCAAGTACAACATCTATTATTCATGACGTGAAATCAAATTTTATGAGCAATACAGGCTGATATGTAATGAATTTACTTTTTTTTCAATTGTCAGTTGCAGTTTGAAACTTTAAAGTAATACAGTTAATCCCCAGATCTCTCGATCTCATTGAAATATAAATTGATTTAACTTGGTGTTTCTATTCTTTGAATATTGTCCATGTTCTGTTGAATTTGGGTTTGGTTTGCTAGTGAACCTGTTACGGCCATCTTATTCCGGAATAATTCACTTCAAACATCAAATATTCAGAAGTTTTCTTGATTATTCAAAAGCTATGTTAATCTGACTTTTCAGTTTTCTTGAAATACTCCTATCCAACACGTATTTTGACGTGTATAAGAGATCTGATTCTCTAAGTGCTCCATCTTCCTCCCTTTGGCTCAGTCCCTGATTTGCTTTTGTGAGATTCTTATTGTACTCTTTTGGATTGTTGCTTGCTTCAACCAGGTTTCATTGCCAGTGAAATCCCTTCAAACTCATTTGACAATTGCGATGCCTGTTCAAGATCGCCCCTCTGGTTCTGTTCTCCCACTTGCACCTTTGTTTCCCCGTTATCTCTTATTACAAGTGACTGCATATTATTTATCTTCATCAAGCTTGCTCTTGGATTGTATTAACAATGCGGAAAGATAGATAACTTTTCTGAACCTCCCAGTATAAAAGACGAAGGTAAGATTCTGTCTGAGCATTGCTTTAGTCCTTTTTTGGGTATATGTAACATGTTATTGGTAGGTAAAATGTACATTAACTAATTGTAAAAAAAAAACACGGTAAAATACAATTTTCAGTGATTATTAGTAATGAAATGTGAGCTTGAATAGTAGTATCATTACTTGGGACTCTCTGTAATTTGTATGCCCCAACCAGGTTTTCTTCAATCTTTTTTTGTGTTGTTTGCCCCATTTATATTTAAGAACCTATAACAAGAAGAGGTGTTTCATTCTATACTTTTGACATGATTGTTGTTTTTACACCCAACGGTTCCATATTTGAGAACATGAATTTAATAACTCCAAAAAAATCAATGAGAGCTGGCTCAGAAAAGGGCCATGTTTTGATTTTAAACATCAATCGAGTCTCATGGTTGGTAATTCCTAATTGAAGGTCTTTTACGAAAGTTGTTCTCAATTTGACGTTGGGGGCAACTTACTACCCTACCTCTCCTTACTCCATATTACATATGGAAATAGGGACAGCTAATTTTTTTTAGTCTATGAATTGAACACAACTTGTATCATGTTTGCATCTTAAATATGATTATAAGGTTTTTTGTTCCTTTTCTTCTAAAGATTAGGCCCTGTTAGATTCTTTTTGATAATATTGTTAAAAACTATCTTCTAATCTTTCAGTGTTCAAAAAGTATTAAAAATCTTTCCCCCCAGATCTTTTTTTTTAAACCCTCTTAACCCCAAAATTTTAACAAACTTAATTAACGGGGAGAAGCAACTGGTATTGATTTACATAAATAAAGTAAATCAATTCTTCAAGTAAAACGCCCCACCAATCTTGCTGGGAAAAAAAGCGTTTAGCTTGAAAGCTAAGCAACCTTTCTTTCTAATTGATAAAAAGGAAAAAGGAAAAAGGTTTAAATGTCACCTTAAAATGGAGTTAGATTTTATTCATATAAAATATTAGTGTTATTGTGTGAGTGAGCTAAAAGTATAGGGATGCATGCTTCAATTAGACCAAGGTTACTATATTAAAAGGACTTGCCCTTAAATTTAAACCGTTTCTCTCTAACATATTCTCTCCCCTTCTCACTAATCTTTATTGGTTTTTGCTCAGCTTTGTTATTTTCCTGATCGTCGCGGTCGTTACCGTCACCACCGGTATCGTTGGAGCCCTCTCTTTGTAACAACCCGAAAATTTCAAAATAATATTTAATTGGGAATTGAGGTTTTAATTATGAAAATTGGTGGATTTTGGGGACTAAATTGGAAGTTTTTAAAACTTGTAGCTTGTTTTAGAGTTAAAGAAAATTCAGGGACCAAGCCCTGAATTTACCCCAAAAAAATAAGGTATTTGGTTTATATATATGATATATGCGTGAATTGGGTTCTGATCCTCCCAAATTCCCTCTCCCAACCTCAACTTCCGACGACGATCTCGACGCCGTCCGAATTCTGATCGTCATTTTAAAACCACCATCGTGTTCATCATCAAGCGAGGAACAAACCCTTCAATTTAATTGAAGCGAAACGCTGCCAAACGTCGTGAATTTCAAGTCAAAGCATCGACGTTTTTTTAAGCTCAATCGCCTAGAAAATCTTAAATTCATCGCCGATCGTTGCTCCTTTTACGACACCTCCCGCACCATCGTGTTCCTTGTGCCGTTTCGAGTCCGCCGGTGTCATCCTCGATCTCCGTTGACGGCGGCGCGTGGGGAGGTAGATCAGTCAAAGATTCGGCCGAGTCGAAATCGAGCTCTCCGCCGTTCAAAAATTTAAACCGATCTTTGTAAGTATCTCGAAATCGCTCAAAATAATTTTTAGAAATTTTCCCGTGATTTTTAGAGCCCCGGAGGATGTCGCACGCGCCCACACGCGCCGCCGCAGGCGAGTGAACGCTGGAAACCGGTTTTGACCGGTTTGACCGGTCACGACCCGTTTACCCGTTTACCCGACCCGTTGACCTGACCCGACCCGTTGACCGTTGACCGGTGCTCTTCTGGGAATTAATTCAGTTTTGGTGCTATTCTGGGAATTAATTCAAAATGGGTGCTATTTTGGTAATTTTTTAAAAAAAGGGTGCTATTTGTGTAAAATGTTTGACAAACACCTCCTTTGACCAGAACTTTGACCGGCTTTGACCAGCTATTAAACGACCTTTGTTTTCGACCAAGAATAAATATCCTGATAGTTTTCGACGTTCCGAATCCGTTTTTGGGGTCCGTTTTGCTAAATTCAAACCCGAAAGTCTCCAAATCGTCAGTCAACCCCGTTGACTTTAATTTTGACCAAGAATTCGAAATTTCGGAAGGTTATACTTTATATTTTTCGACGTCCTGAATTTGATTCCGAAGTCCGTTTTGCCAAATTCTGACCCGAAATTCCCGAATCGAGCTTGTAAACCCAAAAGGCTTAATATTTTAATATTTTGATTATTTAAATGAGATTTGGTCAAGGATTTACTCAATAAAATATTTTATGAAAGTACTCGTGTTTCACCTGAGCAAGGATCAATTAGGTCTGGTATTATCCGTTCGTTAGATCAGCCTGAACCGCGTACTACGAGAATTACCCGTATGTTTCTGTATATTATTTAAATAATATTTAGATTATTTATATTAGGATTCCAATATGGAATTTTCCAATTCGTAGGATCTAGCGCTGCAGCAGAACGTGATCGACAGACCCAGTAATAGGCTTCCCTATCTGATTTCTCAGACTGTTACAGGTGTGTTTCCTGACAGTGTTAATTATTTCTGTTTTAAAATATACATCTGAACATTATGTATATGACATCTGATTTGCCACATATTTCTGATATGATTTCTGGTTACGGTATTTTATACCGATTTTCTGAATATTGAATATTCGATATCTGAAATCCTGTATACTACTGACTTGTCTTCTGATTTCCGTATTTCTGTATATTATTGTTAAGCATGAACACTTTTATGTTTTAAAGATTTAATCATTGTTTTCATTCAAATACATTCATGAACATCTCCATCATTGGGGGGTATTGTTGAAGGAAGTATATTCGCATGTTCCTCGGCTTTGTGCTCAGGGCCTTATTTGTTGTGTGGGCTGGGTGTATGGTTCTGGGGAACCTACACATTCTGTTGTGATGGGCTGAGGGTAATGTTCATATTTTTTTTGACGACATGATTGCATAAACCGACTTTACTGGAATATTTTTATCAGTATGTTTTTTATATACACTGTATGGAACACACTGGGCTTTTTAGCTCATTCTGTAGTTTTTACCATTTTTCAGATAACAGCAGACCATCAGCTAGCAGATTTGGCATCAGGAGAAATCAACTACTTTATTTTGTACGAACATATATTTCTATATGTTTTTCGGTTATGTTTGGTGACATGTATTTTATTATCGTTTTGGATATATTTGTATTATTAATATTATGTTCTATATTATATTTAACGTCCTATAAGTGAAAAAAAACCTCTGAATGGGATATGTGACCCGCTTAGGTTTAGGTCTATCTTACAGACCGGGTCTGGGGGGTTACATTTGGTGGTATCAGAGCTTTCGGTTTTAAACACTCGGACTGTATATGGGTCCTAAACTTTGAATTTTTAAGAAATAAAAAAAATGTCACCTTATGTTATGATTTAAAGTTTTATCGAGATCCCTGATGCTAATCTGACATATGTTTCAAATTCTTCTGTAGAGCCTTATAGATCCAACGATGAATACTGCTAGAGGTCGTAGGACAGGACGTGGACGTGGTAGAGGGCGAGTCACTCAACCTTCTATTACGATAGACGATCCGATGTCAGCACGTGATCCTCCTGTTCCGCAAGTAGATCCGACTCTTTGTCATGATGATCAGTTTACTCCTATGAGAGACCCTCCCATCACTGAAGATGAGGATTCTGAGATGAATGAAGACGCCATTAATAGAGCTATCTTCCGCATGTTTCAGAGAGACTGCAGTGAAGATTTCAAATTCTCTGGTTGTTGCTGGTGTAGTACCATTCGAGGGTATTACTGGTGGACCTCCGACAGACGCTGAGTATTGGCTGGAGGACACAGAAAGGATTATGGATGAGATGGACCTCAGACCTGAGCAAAAGTTAAAGGGGGCCCTAACTATGTTGAAGAAAGAAAGCTTCAGATGGTGGCAATCCATTTCTGGTAGTATTTCGAGGAACTAATTAACATGGGATCTTTTCAAGACGCGCTTCCGAAGTCGCTACATCGGGAGAGAGATATCTGCAGGAGCGACGCCAGGAGTTTCAGAATCTGGAGCAGGGTAATATGTCTGTTATGGATTATGAGGTTGAATTCATCCGATTGAGCCGATATGCTCCTGGACTTGTGGATACTGAGACAGATCGGTGCTTGAGGTTCGAGAATGGACTCAGGTATGAAATCAGGAGTCGAGTCGCTACCCCGAGAGAGGAATTTTGATGCTTTGGTTGAGATAGCCAAGACTGCTGAGGAAATAGAGCGACTGGGTATGGAGCACCGAGAGATAGTGATCGAGCTCAAACCCGATTCAGGAGGCCTTCTGGTTCTGTTAATTCTTCTGCAAATCCTAGCAAGAGGGGCAGGGGTGAATCTTTTCAGAGAGGTAGTGCAAGTGCCAGGCCTGTAGCATCCGGTTCTCCAGCTGTTCAATCTTCTAGACCTGTTGATTCTGGTTCGCAGCCATGTAATTATTGTGGAAAACCTCATCCTGGGGAATGCAGGAGAAAATTTGGTACTGTTTTAAATGTGGTTCTGGTGACCATTTTATAAGGGATTGTCCATTATCAGTTACTACAGTTCAGACGCCAGCTCGTACTCCCGCTCGTACTCAGAGTACTGTTCAGACTCCTGTAGGTGGTCGTACTCAGGAGAGAGCACCTGGATCGGCTAATAGAGGCCGAGCATCTCAGAGTAGGGGTCCAATCAGATCTGAGGCCAGACAACCTGCATTGGTTTACACTGCTAGACTTTGACAAGATCGAGATGGGCCTAATGTGACTGCAGGTACTGTTACTATTCATTCAGTTCCATAGTTTGCATTGTTTGATAGTGGCTCTACAAATTCCTATGTATCACATTCCGTTTCTGAGGGTCTAAATATTCCTGTTGAGAATACTGAG